TTGCCTATCTTCATTAACTATTCACCTAGTTATCCAAGCCAAATGGCTGTCATTTATGGTTCTTTGAGTTTTTAAATCTACCTCCTGGACTAGCCTCTTTCATAGGACAGGTCCTGCTGTACTGAGGCTCATGGGCTTGTACTGCTCACTCTGAAATACAGTAGACTCTGAATTTACTGGGTAAATGTAAGACCTTTTAGCACTAAGGATCAAACTCAAGGCTTCACGCATGTTAGGTAAGCACACTACATAACACCGTACTTATGCATTGCTCACCCACCATCACTACCTAGGCATCCTCACGTGGAGTCAAGACTTTTAAAGTCCCTCTTCCATGAAATCTTCCTTGATGCTACCTCTGAACCAAGTGGTCATCCCTTAAAAGATAAACAGAATTATGCCTGATGGTTATGCCTGATGAGATGTGCTGGGCACAATATTTTAAGGATTTGCAGCAGAGTAGAATCATATGGGGCAACATCCTGCTTTTACTTTGCCCAGGTCACCATACAATGCAAAGGCCCTGTGACGCAAACAATGAACTGAAAAAGTTGCCTACGTCACTTTGCCCTAGTCTGACTGACAAGGACCTAAAGGGTCGCTGCTGTGGTTCATACTCATTCTCTACACTTTAGAAAACTGCAAGGCATATAAACAGTTCCCAGTCAATTGATTGTACAGAACCTAAATAACCTATTCACAATTTTCTAGCTCTGCCATTTATATTTTCTTTATTTCTTTATCCTGGAGACTGTAATACATAAGTAATACAAACAATATTTCAGTCATATCCAGCTATGATAAAATATTTTTTTAGGGTAAAATATTTTAAACTGGTGAACCTGATGTGATATCTATATAGACCAGTTAGTATGTTGTGACAGAAATTTTCATTGCTAAATTTTTTTCTTTTTTTCAACAAACACTTAAGCATTACTCAATATGGTCAAAGTTTCTCTGCTAGATCTGAGAAAAATTAGATTTTAATTAGACTTTCAGTTCTAAAGGATTTTTGTCAAACCTCATTAACTTGACTCTTTTTTCTTATCCTTGTACTTTCAATGTGGTACTTGCAAAACATGAAAAAGTGCCCCCAGGTTAATCTTCTATAATAATTTAAGGAAACTATATGCATATTGTAATAGTAACTGCCTAATTAAGGTCTAAAGTACAAAAACAAATACTATAATATGTCTAAACATGTTTGAAACCTGTAATCTATGTTTCCAAACATTTTTTAAAGAGCAAAGCCTTCTTTCAAGTAAAATGCTAATGACCTGCCCATGGAGAAAAAGCAGAGAAGCAGAATGCGTGAGATTACAGAGCCCTTCCCCAGCTAGTGCTGGGTTGACTCGGGGTCTAACGATAGCTGTGGAATCATACTATGACTATTCCAGAAAAATGTTTCCCACTTGACACCAACATACTTAGTGAGGCAAAATTCAATTATCAGAGGCTTTCATATCTATGTTTATACTCAGAGAACTAAGATTTCTGGATGTTTGGCTAAATATTTAACTTCTGATCTGATGGGTAGCAGAGAGCTAAAGCTTATGTGGTTCTTGAATCAAGGTTAATTAGCATGCTAAACACATGTCTTCAAGAGATATAATGGTCTTATGCTGTCTTTGAACTTGTTTTTTCAAATTCATTAGATGTTTTAATTATAAAAAGTTCATAGAGTTATAGAATTGGGGGATGAAAAGGATCCCTTATTGTGACAAATGTTATTGGTAAGAAAAATAAAGCTACTCATCAAGTCATGACATCATGATGGCTAAACTTCTTGATATTTAACTATACTAAAACTCAAGCACACCTGTGACTCTGTGTCCTTTAACAACTGTGCTACTTACACTGGCTTTTTACTTATACTCTGTTCCCAGAATCTGTGTCACACAGGAAAAGACTAAAAACATAGTTTGTGAGACAGTTAAACTCAGACTCATATCTCTCCCATGCTGGTGACCTAGGAAGCGCATTCTAATTTCTCTCAGCATCAGCTGCTTCCTCTGTAAAGATGGGAGGCAAATTTGATAAATATTAAATGATATAATCTGTGCAAAGAACTTAACATCATGCCTGGGACAGGGTAAGCATTTGGTAAATGTTAAAGAGCATTATTATTACTATAATGATAATGATAATATATTTCATCATTGCTATAAAAAATTTCATATGTACAATATTGGTACAATAAGATGTTTTTTAAAATTGCCAAACCCTAGGAAATAGTTCTTCAGTTGATGATTTCATAGGGTATGTGTGTATATGGTGTGTGTGTGAGAGAGAGAGAGAGACAGAGAGAGAGAGAGAGAGAGAGACAGAGAGAGAGAGACAGAGAGACAGAGACAGAGAGAAACAGTATGTGTACCTGTGTTTCCATTGTGTGAAAAAGCCAAGTCCTGGGGCCTATTACTTCTCTAAATTCTCCTCTACTCTACTTGCATTTCTTAGTGATATGTCCTACATAATAACTCTAATCTGTGAAACCCGACCTTTGGAGTCCTATTGGTGATAAGGTTTGATTATGGAAGACATATTCCCAAGGATATAAGTGAGTCAGGCACGGAACTTGATCAAATCTCAAGTGTTTATGGTGGGAATGAAGGGCCACATGATCGTACCTACCATGGGAATGCAATCAGGGTGTGATTTCACCCCCCACACACATCCCAAAGAAAAATAATGCTTAGAAATTTGACCTTTAAATCAAAATGTCTATGTCAATATGTACAAACTGTTTTACAGTTTGAAATCTAGGCTGGAAGGTTATTCAACTAAATCTTGTTCAGAAAAACAAAAACAGTGGAACATTTCCTTGGTTCAGAAAGTCTAAAACACACTGAATTTACCTGTAAAAAGCAAACGTGAGCAGTATCTAGAAGGGTTTTTTGTGTGTTCATTTTGGTTAGATTTGGAATCTGCCTTTTGGGAATGAAGTGACAGAGCTTTAATCTCTAGGAAAAAAATTCCCAAATACATCCTAGAAACTAGGATAATCCTTCATGAAGTCAAAAGCAGAAGAGAAAAAAGAAAAGCAAATGAATTCCTGTAGCATTAAAAATAACGCCAACAGCCACTGTGACCCCACTTCTTCATTTCACCAGGTCTGACATTCTGCAGATGACCGCCCTTATTTGTCCCTACATGTTTTCCAAAATATAAAAGTGAAATAGAGTCCCAAGGGCACTGTACTTGAAAGGTTATGAGAGTTAGAGAATTTTAACCATGCCTGCCAAATCAGCAGATGGCTTGTGATTATAATTATATGCATCAATAAAACGAATAATCTTTACAAAATTTGAATTTCTACTAAAGTAAGGGATTTAGTAAGCAGATGCAACAGAATGATTTTCTTTAACCCTTTTGGTAGTCACTGGTATCTTCCACACACAAAAAAGATGAAGGGCACTGTATTTAATAGATTGTGCACCCTCATTTTTACCCTTTTTCTTGACTACTTATATCGTGAGCCTCAGTCTTTTCCTGATTTCATTTTCTTCATGAGGATATTTCATCCGCATTTTCACCCTTTAGAGTGGAAATGTGAAGACTAATCCCTGCCATTGTTTGACATTTGAAAGAGGAAAATTTAACATGGCAAATATCTCCATTCTCAATCATACCAAATAGAGTACAGAAACAAGCAAACATTAAATGCATCTTTCTAGCTTATGGTATTCTTTTACAAATTGTTTTCAATAACAAAGCCTTTCTTTCTAAAATATTCTTTTAAATGTCTACAGAATGAAAATATAAATTATTCTATTTAAACAATTAGCTATTTCATTTTGATCTGATTTTGTATAACATTACAAGTAATGGTAACTATATTTTGTCTCAAGTCAAGCCTGATAATGAATATAGACAGAAACCCATAAATGACACATCTGATAAAAAGATGAGGTAAAGTTCTATATACTGGGTCTTTAGCCAGGTTTCCTGCAAAAGGAAATCCTCAAATTTTAGAAAAATTAACTTGAAGTAACTATGCAACTTTTAAATTTTGAAAGAGGTCAAGAAAGTGTACCAAAAAATATTCAGAATTTTTATAAAATAGTGAAGTCAGTGTATTTTCTAAAATAATCAAGTGTAACTCTTCATTAAAATACTTTAATACATATTTCATCCCAGAAAACAAAAAAAATTAAATTTTAAGTATATGTAGGCAGCATGCATTTTACATAGATATTTAGAAGTATACTTATGCTATATAAATCAAATAAAATTCTCTATCATATACTATTAAGTTAGTTCTACATAATGATGTAATAAGTCACTAGTAAAACTTTGAAGGCTTTGACATTTCACGAGCTAATAAAATTTTCCTGTAGACAAAAAATATACAACAAAAATTCTTGTTAGCACCAGCATTCTTTTGAAGTTGCAGTTTAAATATACAGGTCAAAGCCTATTAGAACAATTATCCCTCTAAACGAAATCTAGAGATTTAAACCAAAAAGTAATAAATTCTTGTCTGAAAACTTATAAATATGATGCAACATTTGACAAAACAAAATTCAAATGCTTGTAAGGAAATCAGATATCTTTTAATTCATTGGAATGGAATTTTAAAGACCAGGTAGTCAATAAAAAATTAGGTAAAACTTTTTATGTAGTTGGTAAAATAAACAAAATATTTCTAATAATAATGTCTTTTAAGAGAAAAATTTATACTTAATTCAAAATTTCTATGCAAAGAGATAGTCTAAGTCAAAATTTATTTCTAGAAACTCAGTTATAAAAAATAAAATTGTTAATAAGAACATGAAAAATAAACCATAAGCTAAATAGTTAAAGAACTTTGCAGTAACTAAATCGTAGATATTTCATTCTTAATGTGAAAGAAATTAAATATTTTGGCTTACAGAAAGTTTAAACTGAAGTATAATAGAATTCTAATATACTCTTGATAGCTATTAATAAAACTAAGTGCATAGAAATCATCTATTTAATCATATATACTTAAGATGCCTTTAGTATTTTGAACACTTTACCTTAGACTTGGCATGAGTGTATAGTCACATAAAATGGAATTGATGCAGTCCTTCAGGGAATCTCACAAAATCCGGGCTCTGAAAGTGAAAACAAGAAAAAGTTCTGAACTTGTAGAAGCAAACACCCGGGAAGAGGTAATACATTGGACAGTGACATGTCCACTTCTACCTCAAACTCCAAGTACAAGTTAAACACACCAGACAAAATACGCCAAGGGCTCTGCACACCTGCCAAACCCTTGACCCCCATCAAACAGAGCGGAAAACTCAGGCTCAGAAAAGCTCCAGAACTTATCCAAAGTCGCAGATTGAATGGAAGAACCAGGTTTCAAACATACGATAAAACGAGGCGGGACCATTGAAGATTCTCTTGTGACTTGTGGTCCCTCATACTTATAACTGCTTTATTCCCTAGGCAGTGTTTTATCCCTTGTCTTACATGGTGGATGTTTAGCATTCAGAAGGCTCCTAAATCACTCTTAATATCTTACTAAAATCTTTAGGACCAAGGTTCTAATATCCATTTGTTAAATACGTGAACTGGTATCAAAGTTCAGTAATACAAAGTTTCCTCTTTCAACAGAAATCAAATTCTTCAAATTTTAAAAGAAAGCTATACAACACATAAAACTAGGAGGACTTTCTTCATTAAACTAAAAAACAAAAAGAAAAACAGAAAGGGAAAAATAATCTTTCAAATGAAAGACCAGTACTGAAGAAACAAGTTTGCATAAACCAAAAGTAATGATCTGTGCCCTCTCATCTTAATTACAACACAACCCTGTTCTGCTTTGAAGAATGGCAGTTACATTTCTGTAAAAGTAAGTCCAAGCAGTTGCATCCACAGAGATGCAACTTTCAGACTTCAGTGAAGTTTGCACACCCTGCGCTGTGCCCGTGAAAATGGGAGTAAACAGCAGCCAAAAGGACCGCATGTTTGCTGAAACATTCACTCCTGCACTCACGGGGTGAACATTACGTCTATAGGAAATAAACGATAACACCTGAGATTCAAATTGCTAATGTTCAGCACAGAAAGGTAACCTGAAGTCTGTGTATATGCCTGAAAGCACCAAGTAGTTGCATAAGTCTGCCCCAAAGTGAAATTGTTGGGTAGAAATTGTAGCCATTTTCAGAAGGCTTGCTTTTTCCATGATTCCTACCATAGGAGGGACATAAGGATAAATATGGCATATTAGAAAAATCTCAGTTTAGTAAAATCAAAATATAATATTTCCCTTGAAATTAACAAGACATTATTATACTACCCTCTTCAGGAAATCTATTTCCTTCTAAATTTTGCTCACTATAGAAAGAATTCTTAGAGTTCAAAATACATCTTATTAAATGCTATTCAGACACACACACACACACACACACACACACACACACACACACACCCCTAGTCCTAAAAAGCTGTATAAATGAAAGGAGCATTGGGAATACATTTGAAAGAGGAAAAGTACTTCAAGACAAAAATAGTAAAGAAATATGTGACCTATGATCACTCAGACCATATCATGAACATATATTATGACTCTCATGAATATTAATAAGCTATCTATTCTGTATCAAAATATCTCTGTATCCTTGCATAAATAAAAATGTTTCACAAAAGTAACACAAGTTAGCAAACTTGTTTCTATATAACCTAGAGTTTTAATCCTTGAGCATGATTATGATATATGTTTTATTATTAAATAACAGTGCCTTTAAAAATTGAACCTTGATGCTGATATTATGAATATGTCTATCTTATAATACCACACTTAGGTTACAATACTTTTTTAATGTTTTCAATGAGAATGTCAAGAGTTTATTAAACCATTGACAACCCCACTCAAACTCACAGTTCTCAGAATAAAACATTTCATTTACCTGAATGTCTTGTAACAAAATCACCCTCTCTTGAACTAAACATCCTCTGAATACACATACCTAAGGCAGGCAGACATTTCTGCAAGGCAAATAAGATTTTCTGGCAACTTCCTGCTGCCATATATCTCTAAAAGGATCCTGCGATGTTACACTTCAACACTGCAAATGCATTTTTTCCAAAGGAAACGCTGCTCTAGTGTCAGATAGCTTTGATTCCCCCCCAAGTACAGCCAGGGAAATAACCACTAATCTTATTCAATATTACAGGCTCTCAGCAATGATTTTATTTCCAGATTCAAGAGAACTGAAATACACAAGGAAGAGAAGAGCTTTATTTTCTTGTTTTGTTGTGTTTGTTTGATTTATTTTTAAGATACTGATCAGGGAAATGGTTATCTCATATATTTTAAATACATACTAGGGGCTAGGACAATTTTATATCATCAGGAATGAACTTCCCTGAGCCCATTCCTGCCCCTCGTTTTTACTACCTTTTAGAAACAGTAGGACAAACTGAAATTAAAGTTGCCTTGTGCATTTGAAAGTTTTTAAACCTGCACACACACCTGAATAGCAGATATTTGTGAAAGCACCCTCTCGCTAACACACAGTCGACCTCTCAGCTTCATGTTCACTGCCTTTTGGAGGACACTTGACTTCTGAAATCTACAAACTTTTGTGAAATGGCAAAAGAAAACAACAATCACAACAGAACAGGAGAATTGATCACTGAAGCAACGCTTTCCAGAAGTGATAGCAAAATCCCTTCCTCCTGACCTACTTGTCGAGAAACCACGGACTTTCGGCCCCACCGTTAGGCTAAGATTTGTTCCACTTTCTCCCTAGGGCTTAATGACTTACCGGTGCCTCCTAGCCTTTGTTCTGCTCTCACGCTGACATCAGGGAAGCAGTGATGTAGAATAAAGCAGGGTGGGCTAGGTTAGTCCAGTGTTTGTGTCGTTGTGTGGTGTGCAGGGACACTCTGTGATACTCTAGTGAGCTGTAAGCTTTTTTTGTAGGCTTTGTGTCATTTACTTAACGACCAATCTCATTAGCTGCCAGGGTACAATGGGCTGATGCATTTTCTATGTACATACTCCACACAGTGACCCTCAAGGTTGCCGAAGGTCTATTTAATCAGTCAAATGCTGAATATATTTGCAGTAAATCACTAAAAAAAAAAAAAAAAATTGGACTACCGAAGTATCTTACAGGCTTAATGTTTACTCGTGCTTATTCACAGGTAATAAAATGCATGTATATTTAGCCAAAAGGCGGGCAGAGCAGGTAAAGATGAAGAATTATCTACTTTGCACTGATGAGCTTAATTTTAGGAAACTTTCAGGGTCAAAGATATTTCCTCTCAACAAGTAACCCGGTTTTTAAATTAAATTTCTTAGTTTAATTATATTAAGCACAACAAAAAATAATTGCTTTCCTGAGCAATTTCTCCTTGTTGCTAGCTGCCCCCACCCCTGGTCCTGCCCCCTGCCCAAGCAGTTTCTGAACTGGCAAAGTTGCATTTCAGCCCCCTTTTGAGTTCCAAGGTAAAAATCCTTTTAACTCCTATGAAAAATGAAATGCTGAGAGTACTATGAATGAAGACAGCTGTCCATAAGTATCAGGGAGAGTTCTATTGTCCAGCTTGTCCCTGGGTAAAATGAATACTTTAGAGCAGAGGCTGTTCAGCTTGGCTAAAGAGTGTGGGGAGAAGGGGAGGAGGTCACTGGAGATTTCGCACACTAATTTAATCTGGGAAAAGGACAGGCTCTGCATCTCCCTTGAACAGACTGGCAGCAATCTGGGCCCCCACAGAACTATCTCCTTTTGCCTGTGCTCTATTTATTCCTTATCTCTGTTTACCAACCGCTAGGTCCCTTTCATTCACACCATGAGGCCGTTTTCGTACTATCAGTCAGCAGCTGACACTGTGCAAGAGCCTCAAAGGCAAAAAAAAAAAAAGATCAAAACTAAACCAAAGCTGTCTAAACAATGCAACAGTACAAGTAAATGCATAAACCCTGATTCTTAACCCAACCCACAGGGTGCAAATAGAACCTTTATAGTAAATCCAACAAACCCACCACAGTGAGCCATGGGCCACAGAGAAAGAAAAGTCAAAACATCAGTCATGAAATCACCATCCAAAAAGAATGGCAAACATGGACACCAGCCTTGCTCTCGGGGACACTCTTATCTCTATCACAGATCAATTAACTGGCAACCAGGAAGCATTTACCTTTTCAGAAAAGGTGAACTACATACTGTACTTCTAAGGCAAACCTCACTCTCATTAAAATGCTAGCAGTCTAAAAAAATCTACCAACACGATTACAAGTTAAAGGACTGTGCCATCAATTTCTGATACCTTATTACACTGATTGAATATAAGTGATTCAAAAACTTGGCATCAAACCTCCATTATATTTATATAAAGGTGCTAAAAAGTCCTGTACAATTCAGCTAATTAAATGTTCCCCCCTTGTCTTAGGGATTTTACCTACTTATTCCAAAATAATTAGATGGCAGAGGGGATGGGGAGAGACTGCTTCAGGTACAACTTTTTAATCTATGAAAGCACTCTGAGGAGTGTGATGGAAAAGAAAGTGAAGTTTACAAAAGAAAAAAATGAAACCAGTGTTTGAATCTTATATGTAACCTTTGAATAAACATAAATTTTGAATTTAAATATGATTTACTTGCATTAATGATAAATATAAAATAAGTTTTAATATTTCAACAAATAGAAGATGCTTATCTAATATAAATATGTCACTGTAGTTAAAGATATCAGCGAAGTTGAATATACACTTTAACAACATATTTGCATGTATCTATATATCCATATTATAATCATAGATATGCACACAACCTTCCATATATACCTAAGTAAAATGAGAAGCTGCATAATTTATAAGGCCTGTAGTTCTCTAGATTAAATACTAAAACTTTAAATTTCCCTGAGCTTTTTTAATCATCAAAATGACTGGAAATGATTGGTTATTATTATAAAAAATGAATGCCATATCGACTCAATCACTAGGACCTTTACCAAAAAGGTATGACAGTGTAACTCATTATGTAGGATGGTCAAATGAACCAGATTTCAGTTTGTTTTCACCTATATGCATTATGAGCAATGAAGTCTTTACTACTTGGATCCTTTTTTCCAAATGAATTAATGAATTAAATTTATCCTT